TGTGGTCAAGCAGGGGTGGGGAGCTCTTCCCCATAAGAGAGAGTGGCGCTAGCTGGAGCAGGCCTTCCCCAAGGAAGGGTACACAAAGTTACTTCCGGGTCAGAGATGAGGTAAGGGGCTGCACCAGACACAGGCGGGTTCAGATCTCGGGCCCTCTCTGAAGGCCAAACTGTCTGCATCCCCCACTACCAGCTGTACGGCCGGCCCAAAGCGCCTTCCCGCCCATGCCAGCTTCCCCTGCAAAGTAGGGATGGCCGTGCCCACGCCTGTCAGGGTAAGCTCCCTCTACCCTAAAGCATGGCAAGGCTCCTCAGATGGCCCAGGATCGAGACCGATGAGGCCCACCCAGACTGCCCCTGTGCCCATCCCCCCGGGGTCACTGTACAAACACACGCTTATCCAGCTCTGTCCTGTTGTTCCAGACTCTGGCACGCCCTGCCCGAGAACCCTGGCCTCACCTTACTGCTGTTCCCACCAGTCCTGCCTCCGACAGTGGCCTCTACACTGTGTCCTCATCTATACCCAGAGGTCCCCTGGCCTTGCCTCCCAGCCCCTCCTGGCTCCCTCCCGGCCAGTCACCACGTGCCCACCCAGGAAACTCACAGGAGCACCTCTGAAGTGGCAGCAGGGACAGACACAGGGTTACCAGGCCCAGTCTTCACCCCCAGGAGAAGACATATCCCTTCGAACACCCATGGCATTCTGGGCACTGTGGAGGTCCCCCCACCCATCCTGTGAGGGGCACATGAACACTCAGGGTGGCCAGGGGAGTGGAAGGTGGGCCCAGAAGGGGCCAGGTCTGCAAGTTCATGGCAAAGGCAAGAGGCTGAAGGAAAGGGTAGGAGGCTGGGGTAAGAGCTGCAACCAGCCCACTGGCACCAGGCTGTAGCAGGGGCGTTGCAGAGCACTGAGTCAGGACTGGTGGGACTTCCGAACTAGTGACTTTTTTTTTTTTTGAGTTGGAGTCTCACTCTGTTGCCCAGACTGGAGTGCAGCGGCCGCTCCCGGCCACCGCAGCCTCGACCTGCTGGGCTCTGGCGATTTTTCCACCTCAGCCTTCTAAGTAGCTGGAAACACAGGTGTGCGCTACCACACCCGGCTAATTTTTGATTTATTGTAGAGATGAGGTCTCGCCCAAGTTGCCCAGGCAGGTCTCGAACCCGCAGGCTCAGGCAATCCACTCACCTCAGCCTCCCAAAGTGTGGGATTAAAGGCTGAGCCACCGAGCCCGGCTGACTTTTTTTTTTTATTTTTTAAGTTGGAGACTCACTCTGTCACCCAGGCTGAAATGCAGTGGCATGCTCACGGCCACCCCAGCGTCGACCTGTTGGGCTATGGTGATCCTTCTGTCTCAGCCTTCCAAGTAGCTGGAACTACAGGTGCATACCACCATGCCTGGCTAATTTTTTATTTACTGTAGAGATGAGGTCTCACCAAGTTGTCCAGGCTGGTCTTGAACCAGCGGGCTCAGATAATCCACTTGCCTCGGCCAAGCACTTTGGAAAGTGCTGCGATTGCAGGCTGAATTACAGAGCCCAGCTGATTTTTTTTTTTTTTTTGAGTCAGTTTCACTCTGTCACCCAGGCTGGAGTGCCATGGCATGCTGCCCATGGCCACCACAGCCTCAACCTGCTAGGCTCAGGAGAACCTTCCACGTAGCTGGAACTACAGGCATGCGTCACAACGCCCAGTTAACTTCTTTATTGTAGAGATGAGGTACCGCTAAGTGGCCCAGGCTGGTCTCCAATCCCTGGGCTCAGGCACTCCTCTTGCCTCCGCCTCCCAAAGTACTAGGATTATAGGCGTGAGCCACCACACCCAGTAATTCGTGACATTTTACAGCCAAACTGCCACAAGTGGCCCTACACTACCAATGCTTTTTGTGCCAGACCAAGATGTGGAAACGTCAGCATACAGGCAGCATAGGCTCCTGGAGGAGGGCCCATTTCAGGTCACGCAGTCCCTTACCTCAGGGCGCAGGCCGCAGGCTGGCCAGCCTGGTAGGGCCCAAGCTGCACGCGGCACACGAGGGCGCCCAGCGCCTCACAGTCTTCCACGTCACATGGGTACCTCGCGGCCAGCACATTACCCTTGGCCTCCTCATAGAGCAGCCGCAGGACCTCCTCATCGTGGATCTGTGGGCCGGTGCAGCAGGGGAGGCGACTCAGTCGGGGAACGGGAAGTGGACGTGCAGGGGTCTAGGGCCGGGGAGGCTGGGCTGGGGGACCAGCCTTGGATGGTCCTGCCCGGGGCCCTGTCTCACCTGGAGCTCTCGTCGTTTTGGGAAGAACACATTCCTTCGGAACTGCAGTGAAGGCTCATCTGTGAAGACAGGCTGGGGTCACCGCCTGGCCACTGCGCTCAGCCCAGCCCTGCCCTCTCCCGACTGGTCCAGCCCTGGCTCCCAGTGTCACCCACCATGACTGAGAAAACACGAGGGGCCATCCAGAGTGGGGGTGTGCAGCTCACCTCAATGTGCTCCGGCCCCTCCTGGCCCACCCCTTCCTCCCGTCCAGGAATGGCTAACAGAGCCTGGGGGAGAATCAAGGGCGAGCAGGCAGCAGCACTGACCCATGGCCACATCGTCGTCCGGGGCGTCGGTAAAGCGCAGCAACAGCTCGGGCCACTGGCGGCCCAGTTTGTAGGGCTGGTGCTTGGGTTTCAGCTGCACCTCTGCAGGATGAGAGGGGAAACAGCCCAAGTTGGCCCCTAACCGTTCAGTGCCACCTACCATCCACTGCCCAATGACAATAGCAACAACGACAACAGTCATGGCCAGCAGTAACTGAGCACCCAGAACTCTTTCAAGAGGTTTATGGGCATCTGCCCTGCAATAACCCCATCCCCCATTTCTTTTTTTGAGTTGGAGTCTCACTCTGTCGCCCAGACTGGAGTGCAGTGGCCGCT